GTTTATACTTATTAAAAGATGAAGTCTGTATTTTATGTGGCAAAAAAAACTTATTAGAAGATAAATCGAATCTGTGACAAAAAAAAAAACATACACCCATATCTGATAAACACAACCCTAGCCTTTTTATTTTCCTATTATACAAAATTTTTTTAGAAAATATCCAAGTATTATATTTCTACTTTATACAGCATCAAATTACATTTTTACTCATATATTGAACAGTTAACTTATTAAACAGTGAGAATATTTTGTAATGTAACAAATGAACTAGTTTTAACTGTTAATAAGCATAATAAAATTAGAATAAAACAAATTGTCTGATTTAATAAAACAACATAAAAAAAAATAATTCAGAAAAGCAAAATGAATAAAAGTTATCTGAGCATAAAAGAACAGTTACAGTAAAAAAATGCAATCTTGAGCAGATGTAAAGTCAAAATTTCATTCACTGCTAACCTCTCTTGGAAACCTATTGTCTATTATTTGTTTCTATTGTCTTCCTCTATAAACCTATTGTCCTTTGTCTTCCTCTATAAACCTAGAGCCCACTACTTAAGTAGTCGGCTCAAAAAGAGCGGACTACTTAAGTAGTGGGCTCTAGGTTAAGTGTTGTTCATCAATAAAGGAATATCATCAATACTGCGATAACTACTGTTATTATTTTTTTGACATCTTCGCTTCCAACAAGGCTGCAAGCAACCACTAATTAGTGTTGGAAGTTACTGGAAGAGAAAAGATGAAGTTTGTAGAGCAAGATAACGATTGACAGACAACTTAAAAGATTGCAAATTTTATGAATCAGGAAAGCAAGATAAAGGAAGCGAATTCCAAAAAACTGATGTTTGAGGGAAAAAACTAGACGAATAAGAGTTTTTGGAGCACTTAGGAACAGTAACAGAAAAAAGATGACACTTGACTGAATGACGAGTAATACGAGAATGAATTTTAGTAGATGGCACAAGAGACGCTAGCTCTTTAGAGCAGTGCCCATTATAGTATTTGTAGAAAAGAGAAAGAGAAGCAACATTACGACGATGTGACAGAAGTTGAAGGTTGGCTGCAAGAGCAGGTCCAACTATGTTTACAATGCGTTTTTGCACCTTGTCTAAAAGAGAATGGGCATCATTAGAAGATCCACCCCAGATATGGCCACAGTATTCCATACAAGGCTGGATTTGAGATTTATAGAGATAGAGAATAGAATCCAGAGTTAAAAAATGTCGAGCTCGATAAAGAGATGCAACTTTAGCAGATGCTAATTTTGCAACAGTTTGATATAAGATTTCCAAGAAGGATCAGAAGTAAGAGCTAATCCTAGAAGATGAAGAGTAGATGACTAATCGAGTCAATTACCGTTCATAAATATAAGAAGGTCTAAACTATTGCGATAATGATTGGCTTAAAAAAATTGAGTTTGATCTGAATTAAAGTTCACCAGCCACTGTAAGCCCTATGCTGTAGCAGAAGTGAGATCCTTTTCAAGTTCAAATGCCCCCTGCAAGCAATCAGAGGGAGTTGGCTTCTTATCGTGACAAGAATAAATGGTAGTATCATCAGCAAACAATGCCACCTTAGATAAGAGAATATCTGGAAGATCGTTAATGTAAATTACAAAAAGTATAAGGCCAAGGATTGAACCTTGAAGAAACCCTGAGGTTACAGAATAAGAAGAAGAGTGCTATCATGGACAACTTTAATACTACGATTGGAAAGGAATGGTTCAATAATCTTAAAGATGTTTCCAGATACACCGTAAGAAGAAGGTTTATGGAGAAGACCAGTATGCCAAACTTTATTAAACGCTTTAGAAACGTCATAAAACTACTAACATCACCTCCTAAAAGTATGATTGAAAAAAAAAATCTTTTTGTACATGATCTCGGAAGAAAACTTTAAACATGATTATTTTGATATAAAGAAAACTTTAAACATGATTATTTTGATGTAAAGAAAATAGATTTTAAAGTATAGTAACTGGATTTTGACTTTTTTTACTTTATGTCCCACCCTTTCGCATTATACGGAGTAGAAGAAAATCTTGATAAAATTACCGTTAACAGTAAGCTTCTTGGCTTTAGTACATACATCTACTATTATAGCCTGATGCTACAAGGAAGAGCTACATTGACTGAGGGTTTAGCATAAGGCAGCAATTTTTTTTCTTTAACTATTTCAAATAAAATCTTTAATGTTTAAAAATTTTTCTCTGACGAGAGCGCTACAAGCTGAAAAATAAACTTATTTTATTATTATTTATTTATTTGTATTTTCTTCTCCAGGTATGCTTATAATATACATTTATTATATTTGTATGTATATTTATAATATACATTTATATATATGTATATTTAAATATATATGTATATTTAAAATATACATTTATTATCGTGATAAAAAGAAAATATATATGCAAAATTATTACGTATCAGATTGACAAAAAAATACGTCAAAATAATATTTATACATTAATATAGTATTGAAGCAAACTATAAATTCTGGTATAATAACTATTATATATATATATATATATATATATATATATATATATATATATATATATATATATATATATATTGTACTTTAATACCTAAAAAAAAAGGAAATTAAATAAGATTCAGCATTTCCGGGTATAAAACTCAAAAAATATATATTTTCGCAGATTCCCTTAATTGTGCCATTTGGCGTATATTAATGTTTATATAAAAAGTTAATTAAGTAAACTTAGAAATACATTTTTTTGCAATTAGCTTTGTAATTACTATTTCTACTGTTATATATATTAATTTATATATATATATATATATATATATATATATATATATATATATATATATATATATATATATATATATATATATATATATATATATATGTATATATATATATGTATATATATATATATATATATATATATATATATATATATATATATATATATATATATATATATATATATATATATACATACACACATACATACATACATACATACATACATACATACATACATACATACATACATACATACATACATACATACATACATACATACACATGTACACACATCCACATATACATACACATATATACATATATACACATACATATTTTTGTTATTATTATTTTATTTTTATTTTTTTTATTTATTTATTTTTTTAATAATTTTTTTTTTTAATTTATTTTAATCATTTTTACAAACTAAGAATATGCAGCTTTGCTAACCGTTTAAACGACGATATTCCATTTAAGTCTTTTAATTTTTGATTTTTCAAGTTTTTCCATTTTTTAGGACCCTGTGACATAATTGAAAATTCAGAACCCTGGGTTTTAGTTTTTTTAATATAATAGTTATGGAAGCTATTTGATCTCAGGTTATAACTTTGAGAAAGTGATGAGGAAAATATGTTTAAAAAAGAATTTGGCAGCATATTATTTTTATATTTGATCATAAAAATAAGAGTCTGATATAAATTAAGTTTTTCCAAGTTTAAGACTTTCACATTTGTCATCGCTTTGAAAGGATCGTCCATTCTACCTACATAATGAATTGTTTACAAGCATGGTTTTGCAAGCATTGTAGTTTGACTGATTTTGTTTTGTGTGCATTAGCCCACACTATATTAGCATATGTAAGATGACTGTGAATTAGACTAAAGTAAAGTTTTTTTCTTGAACAGAAATCAAGAAATGGCCGACATTTATATAAGATACCTGTTGCAGATTATATTTTTGTTTCAATGTGTCCAATATGATTTCTCCACGATAAATTTTCACCAATATGAACACCAAGAAACTTTGCACATTTTTCCCGTTATATTGTTACGTTGTTAATGAGCAATTCTGGAATTTTTAACGGTAGAGTCATTGATTTTGGACCGCTTAACCGTAGCTTTATCTAAAATCATATCTTGTTAGTTAAGAACTATCGTCGGGGATAGTGCAAAACCACGTAACTAGCATTTTATAATACCGCGTATCTACAGTACATTTTTTTTACTGAAGAAGTTTAAAACTTTATTTTTTTCAACTAATTTTGGGTTCATTTTAGTAAAAAGAGTATTATTCATGTTTTTTGTAATTTCAACAATAAATGTTTGGTGTTAAAATTAATATCTAAATATAGTAGCCAATGCTAGTTACGCGGATTTGCACTATCCCCGACGCTATGTATTTTTTACCTAGGTTTACTTATATATCTTCATTGCCTTGTAGGATAAGGGTTTTTTGATTTTTTTAACAGTCTGTATTTTATTTCTTATAAAAAAAGTGAAAATTAAATTCCAGCCCGAAATATTGTAATAAGGCCGGAACAGAATTGACCTTAAAATCACAATATCTGGCCGGAACGGAAATCCAGTACATCCCTAAAAAAGATTAATAAAGTTTATGTAGTAGAAAACCCGAGGGAAATAGTTTTTTTAATATTTAAGTGTAAACAAAAAATGTCCCAGTGTACGATCGAACATTTTGTTGCGAACTACATTATCTTATTTTATTAAATCTTAAACTTTGACCAATTGGATTCATGAAGTTTGACCAATTGGATTCATGAGTAGTTTTCGGGGATATATTACTTCCCTGCTCAACTAGCGCAGTTCTACCCTGTTATAAAAGTATTAAAGATCATATTTTTATATAGAAACTGATATAAACAGTTTTTTCATTTACAAAAATCTTTGCTAAAAATGTACCACTTTCTGCTTACTTTAAAAATCGATTATAATCCACGTATTATCTCAGGATCTCAAAAGAATCGGTAAAAACGTTACGAATAAAAGTTTTAATAAACATCTAATACAACCTGCTCAATATTTACTAACATTTAGTGCTGATAAAAAGAAAACAGTTAATTTTTTTTTTAATTTTTGTATGGAAACGAATATTTTTTTACGTGAACATACCAAGAAAAAGCCTACTAGCTAAGGCATGGTCACACTATAACAAAGTATTTTTAGAATTGAATTTGCGAAATATAAAACAATAAAAAACAATTATCATCAAATAAACTAAAATCACAAACGGGTTATATTAACAAATAAAATTTCAGTACAAACATCAGTACATACAAGGCTTGTAATTATAACAAGTTTTATCGCATATACGTCATCATATACGTTAATGTTCAGCTAAAAATATTAAAGCCCGAAAACTTATACAAAATGATTACAGAGCGAATTTTTGAATTTTCCGAAGTAAGATTACATAAATATTTTAGTTCAGAAAGAATAAACTAAAGTGAAAGAAAACGAAGAACAACGTTTTCTTTCATAAAATTAAAACAGTATCATTGTGTTGCGTTGTTTAAATAAAAAACAAACAAAAAAAACAAGTTTTATAATCAGTTTGTATTTAGTCTAAGGGCATTTAATCTCATTTGCCTTTTATAGAGCAAAACATTTTATCAGATTGATCAGTTGTTGCATTCGCTACATCATCGACTGCCTATAAAAGTAAAATTGAATAAAAGTTAGTAACAGGTTCCAGTTAGGAAAACATTTTTAGTTCAAAGTAAAACATCATCACAATAAATGTATATATATATATATATATATATATATATATATATATATATATATATATATATATATATATATATATATATATATATATATATATATATATATATATATATATATATATATATATACATTTATATATATATATATATATATAAATGTATATATATATATATATATATATATATATATATATATATATATATATATATATATATATATATATATATATATAAAACAAAAATTTAAATTTTTTTGTTTAATCAAAAAAATGAAAGAGAGGAATACCCTTGTAGTGACCTGTGTTTGAAGTGTACAGACTTAATCTACCTCAAGTGTACAGTCAAAAGTATTTTTAGTCAAAAGTATTTTTACAAACAAATTTGCTTAAAAAATATATATATCGACAGTAGGAAGAGCCCATTTATTTAATTTATATAGGACATACCTTAATGACATTCTGGTACAGTTTAGAATTTTTATTCGATTTTACATTAATTTTAAACTTTGCTTGAGTAAAAATAAATGTTTACATACCATTATATCTGGAAAAAAATAAAACTATTAAAGTTCATGAAATTTATAGTCACATTAACCAATATTTGATCGCATAGTCCTTAAGGCAATCACAGTAACACATCGTTAAAAATTAGTTTGAGTACATAATCAAATAATTTTGTAGTCAGCTCTACAAAAATTGATTAGAGCAAATAATTTTTGTTGAGCTACAAATAATTTTTTTTTGTTAGAACTATTTTCTTTTCTATCTTAATGACCAAACATAAATTTTGAATTGAACTCAGTTTAGAACTTAAGAAATTAAATAATTATTAAGTAATCTAAAATTTTTTGTTATAAACACAGTTTTGTTATAGAAAATTTCAATAATATAAACACTTATCAAAACTCAAAAAAAAAAAAAAAAACCTTGCTTTTTAGCTCTATAAATAAAAAAGATTTTCTAACCCTACTCAAAGGGTTTAAAAATCTTTTAAAGGGTCAAACAAACAAAAGATTATGTTAAGTATAATATTGTGTTAAGAAATAAATTATAAGGAAATATAACTTTTTTCAAATACAGAATTTCGATTCTATTAATAATTTTTGTTAAATTAGTTTAAATAATTTTTAGCATGGTTTTTATTAAATTTTATTACAACGCAATGCTTTAAAAAATTTCCAAAGTTCTACAATTTGTACATGTAAACGTATTCTGGAAGTTTTTGCATTTTTTTTTTTTTTTTATTACAGGAATTTGTTTATTAAGATTAAATAAATATGCAAATTAAATTTTAATAGAAAATAATAATTTATTTCATAAAAAACTTAGTTTCATAAAAAATTTCATAAAAAACTTAATTAAAGTTAGAAATATTTTGAAAAAACAAGCAAAATTTCTATAGTTCCATCAAAAGTAAACCTTTATATATATTTTTTTAAATAATGCTTTTTAAAATACTTTAGTTTTTAACTCCCACCTTTTACACTAAATAATTACAAGATTCTGTTTTTCATACTTTTTATAAGATTTTCTAAACAAACTTTAGAAATGCCCCGATTTAAACTTCATGCCTTGAAAGGAAATACCAAATTCTCAGTAGGTGATCTCTAAATGATCTTCATAATTTCTTGCATTCATTTTTGTTGTAATAAAACATATTGAAAACTTTGCAGTGGAAACAAAATGCAGCTATATCATAACTGTCCCTCCTCCAAAGATATGGCAAGTTTATCTTTTTTTTTCAAATCCTGACCTTTGCATCACTACAGCTTCTGTATCTAAAGTAATTTTGTGCTTAGACTCTTCTACAGCATATGGTCTGGAAAACATACCAGTTAGAGTCTTACAGAAGTAATTTCCCAAGCTGTTGTCTGTTATTTCAAAACTATTTAACAATTGCTTGTCAGAGTCTTGTTTCCTGCTGGAAAGCAGCATCTGTTATCTCTATTTTCTGACTGCTCTAATGACTGACTAAAGACTCTAAGGCTCTAAAGACTGGTCTAACTGCTCTATATGGTCTAACTGACTCTAAAGGCTCTAAAGACTGGTCTAATGGCTATTTTAGTTTTCTTACTATAATAGCCCTTTAGTCTTCTTACTATCATAAGCAAGATTTGGAGTTTTTAATTAACAAACAGTTAATCTCTTGTCTAAAATCTAAAACTTACTTTATGTCCTTATTTTCTGAACATCAATATGAATTTCAGTCTTCTTGTTCTACAGTTGATTTGTCAACAGTAATAACCGATAGCTTTTATTGTGCATTAGATAGATGTGGAGAGGCTAATGGTTTTACTCTCGACATTCCTAAAGCTTTTGATAAAGGTTTGTATGCTGATTTTCTAAATAAATGTTCCTTTTACAGTGTATCAGGTAGCATCTTTAATATTATTGAATCTTTCCTTACCAATCATAGAGTAAATGTTGTCCTCGATTGACAGCACTCTTCTTTATATCCTTTAACTTTAGGGGTTCCTTAAGATTTCTATCACTGACCCTATACTTTATTAAATTTACATTAACGATCTCCCAGAAATTCTCTCATTTAAGGTGGAATTGTTCCCTGATGATACTATTAATTCTTGTCTTAATAAGAAGCTAACACTCTTATTGCTCGGAGGGGCATTTGAGCTTGATAAGGAACTCACTTTTGTTACAGAATGGGGCTCAGTGGCTGGTAAACTTTAACTCAGATAAAACTAAATTTTTTTTTCAGCTAATCGCTATCACAATAATACAGATCTTCCTATATTTGTAATCAACTCAATGAGTCGTCTACTCTTCATCTTCTATGATTAACTCTTACTTCCGATCTTTCTTGGAAACCATATATCTATAATATGTCATTGCTAACAATTTTGTTTATCTTTTAAAGTGATTTGTTTGTTAAAAGCAGATTGGTATCATCTGTTAAGTGGTAAGTAGAAAATATCAGAGAGGTATTTAGATCATTAATAAAAAGATGAAAAAGAAACGGTCTTAATACCGAGCCTTGTGCAGGCTTAGACAGGAATTGCGTTTAATTGCAAGCTGTAACTGACCACACCTATAATTTTTTTCTTTACAATTTGACCATAGCTGTTTTATGTTTTAACAATTTAAATGCAATAAAAAAATCGTTATGTTATGAATAACTTGAAATTGTTGATCTTTTCTAAAATTTTTATTTTTATTTTATTTAAAGCCTTCGCTTTAAATAAAATACAAAACTAATTATAACGATTGTTTAAAATAAACACATTTTGTATAAATTAACAAAAAATGTTATATTTAAATTTTTTTATGTAGGCAGGTATTTTTTGTTAAACTTAAATGTTTTAAAAGATTATTTTTTAAGTTAAACTTTTAACTATAAGTTAAATTAAGTCTTCCGATTGCAATGAAATGATATATTTATTATGGTATACTGCTTTATTTATTTTTGTTTGTTTTAAAAAAACAGTTTCTAATCAGAGCGTGAAATGATTAAAAATTCTATTAAAAAGTCTACCTAATTTTTTTTTTGCAATTTCTTTTTGCAATTTTTGGAAAAAATGTTTATACAATAAAAAAATTTTTTTAATTTTTTTAATTCAAATTGAAAAATTTGCAATTTAATTTAAATTTTTTTATTTTTTTCTTAATTGAAATGAAAATTATCCATCATTAAAAGTAGTTTGTAAAACCATTTTGCGTAAATTTAATAAAATGTTAACTAAAGACAACTTAAGTAACTAAAGATAAGTTAACTAAATATAAGTAATTTACTTCAAATGCAATTAAAAACGTAAGAAAAACTCAAGTTTGAGCTTTTTGAGTTTTATTTTAAAGCCTATATATTTTCTTTTTTGTAAGGTGTTGTTTTTTTTGTTTTGTTTTTTTAATTTTTTTCCTAGTTTAAGTTTAGTTTAGCATTTCTTTTTTCAGTGCATTTCTAAAATGTTTAAATCATCAAAATATCTTAATAGTTATGGTCAAGTTGTCAACAAAAAAATCATTTGCGTGGTCAGCAATAGCATTCGATCGCACGCCATTCCCGTCCAAGTCTGCTTGTGTGACAACATTTGTTGATTTTATTAATTCAGATTCCAATTTTCTGAATAGAATAGAATGATCAACTTTATAAAATGCTTTCTGTAGATCAACAAAAACACCAAGCAAACAATTTATTGTCCAAGCTGTTCTAATTTTTTCAGTAATATCAATTAGTACATGAGTTGTTGAATGACTGTTTTTAAACCCATACTAATTTTTATAAAGACACTTGAATTTCTCCAGAAAGTTGATTGAAAGATGGAGTTGATTGTCAGTGAAGAACCCAGAGTTTATTTGGGGATATGGTTTTTTTCCAGCAATGTTGAGGGGGGGAGGGGGAGGGGGGGGGAGGGAATTATGTTTTTGATTTCCCCCTCCCTTCATTCTCTTCTTGTTAAACAGGTGCGCAACAATAATTTTTAATCATCATTTTCTTAATAATCATTTATGTTTATCTTGTTCAGTTTTATCCTATAATAAGGTGTTGATTTAAAGGCATTTTTTGAATACATGAATTTACTGGTGGACGATGTTACTTTAGCTAAAAGAAAACTATTTTACCTAAGATTTTAATAAATGCTTTTGTTGCATAAACCATGCTATCAGTAAATAATTATTGAAAATTGTTCAAAGTATTTTAAACAGTTATTAACTATATTTTAGTAAATTTAATTTAAAATAATAATTAAAAATATTTAAAACAATTTTTAATCAATATTTACATTACATAATATTTACATATATTTACATATATTATATCGCGTAATATTTGTAAAATTAACAAAATAGTTTTACATTTCGTATTTGAATTAAAAACATAAGCATTTAATAAACAAATTCGATAAGCATTTAATAAACGTATTTAATAAACTATTTGAATAAGAGCATACGCATTTAATCAACTTATTTTCTACTATTTTAAATTTAAAATTTTGATTAAAATATGAGTAAACCTGTTCATTTAACTTTTACTAAAGGTTATAATTTTTAAAGTGATTTTATGGCGTCTTTTAAATTAAAGATAATTAAAGAGATAATTACAGTAAACATAATTTTAATAATTTTTTAAAACTTATATTAAAAAAAAAAAAAATTTAATTATTAAGAATAATTTAAAAAACTACATTTGAATAAATAAATAACATTTACTATGGGTTATTTTAAACAGATCTAAATAAAACTTTTATTAAGTTATTGAAACCTTTTTTATTACTATTTTAAAAAGAATATTGAAAGGAAAAAAAACTGTCTGAAAAAGATTATACTTTGTTTTTTCGTTTTCCTCACGTAAACTAAAATAGCAAGCTAAAGATCAAAATTTCGTTTATTTAAAAATTAAACTTGCCCGATAGTTACAAGAACTGATATTTTTTACTTTTGTTCATTTATTATCAAAAGCTATTTACTCTTAATTGCCAAAAAGAAAAATTAACCTTACCCTGAATGGATATTTAAAAACGCTTTAACTCTCAAAAAAGCAAATCTTTTATACATTCCATTGTTATAAAACTTTGCAACTTGGTTTTAAAATTAAGTTTCTTAACGACTTTCATTTTTTTAAAAGTTATGTCCAGTTAATAACTGAAGGCAAATTACGTTACGTGGTTATAAAAAAAAACAATTTCTTTTTAATTCTTTTTATTTTCCTGAAATAAAAATGAGGTAGCTAAATTAATCTAAGAATTATTTATATACTACTGCATATAAAACTAAATTTTTTTTCTATTTTTTATAAAAAATCAAAAAAAAAAAAAAATTAAAAAGAAAAACAATTTTTGGGCGCTTTTTTTTGGGCGCCCATACTGGTAAAACAGTATAAAACACGTCTGGGTTCTTCACTGATTGTGCATAGCTTTCTCAAACAGTTTGCTTATATTTGAGAAAAGAGAAATTGGGCGAAAATTTGAGTAATCCAGTAGAGAACCTTTTTTATCTATTGGTGTCACTTTAGCTATCTTAAGGAGATCTGGGAAAATTCCATTTCTAAATGAGTTATTCATCATTAAAGATAGTGGCTTTAAGTTTATGTTTGGAATAAGTTTTAGAATAAAGGTGGAAAGGCTGTTTGGGCCCAGACTTTTTTTGTTTTGAAGATTCATTATGAGACTCAACATCTAAACTTCAGTCACTGGCTCAAAGAAAAAAGAACTTTAATTAGGATTTTTTAGAAAGTCTCTAAAATCATATTTAGGGATGATTTTTTGTTTATTAGATTCTCTTAGATGGAAGCAGAGTAATTCTTAAAAATATTAGCAATTGTGGTTGAATCAGAGATGACTTAATCATTTATTTCAAGTTAAAAGAGTTATTGTATGTAGTTGTTCTGATGTTGATAATTTCTTTTATTCCTTTCAAAGTTCTTTTTTTTATGACATGACATTTTAGTGACATTTTTGGTTGAGATGGATTTAAGAATACCAGCATACAATATTCATGGTTTAGATTACAATCTAAACATGGTTTAGATTAAGAATACAATATTCATGGTTTAGATTTGTTTTTTTGTTTATATTCATTTTTTTAGGTTATATTCATATATATTATTATATTTATTCATTTATATTATTATATTTATTGATATATATTATTATATTTATTCATATATATTATTATATTTATTCATTATATATATTCATGGTTTAATTTGTTTTTTTTGTTGAAACTTTGTGGGGAGCATGTCTGTCTGGAACTTTTTCAAATGTATTTAAAAAACTTATCATTGATTTATTAATATCCTCGTCTTTTATTTGTACCTGCCAGTGCATACTAGATATATCTTGTATAAAGGTGTCAGTATCAAAGTTTTGATTTTGATCTTCTAGAGATTTTTATATTCTTCTTTTTTGGGGAAAAAAAACAACTAAAAACTAATAATACAGAGAAACTGGTCCACGTAGTCTGAAATAAAACTTGTTAGGTTGTTTTAGGATAATAAGAGTTTATGAAAATATTATCAATGAGAGTTTTGGTTTTTGAAGTTAAACATGTTGGAAAAAAAATGGTTGGGAGAAGCGAGCAAAAGCATAATGTTTGGAAATAATTAGAAACAATAGGAGTTTTTTTATAATTAAGTCCATGCTAAAATCACCCATTAATATGTTTTTTTTTCATAACTTAATTTCTCAAGTAAAGGAGTTTAATGGTTTGGGATGTGTTTTTTTAAATTTTAAATTGGTTAAATGGTCTTTTTATCGCAGTCATCATTTTGTTACTCCAGATTCTATTCTTTATTGCTATAAAAATCAAATCTGTCCTTGTATGAAATACTGTTACTAGATCTTCGAATGATGCCCTTTCTCTTTAAGACAAGGTACAGAAACGCATTGTAAACATAGCTGGACCTGCACTTGCAGCCAAATTCAAACCATTATCACATCGTCATAATATTGCTTCTCTTTCTCTTTTCTATAAATACTATAATAAGCAGAGCTTACATTTCTTGTTATATCAACTAAAATTTATTCTTGCGTTACTTTTCATTCAATTAAGTCTCATCCTTTTATTGTGACTGTTCCTAAATGCTTTACAAATTCTTATTTGTCTAGTTTTTTTCATCATGCCAATAATACTTAATACCAATGGGGCTATTTAAGTAAAATTATCTAACTTTTTTGCATTGAAAAAAATAATATTTTCACATTCTGCATCTTGCAAAAATAATATTTTCACATCCTACACATTCTTGGCAAACTCAAATCTTGCACTTTTATGTTTTTTAGCCTATGATGGTTTTGTGATCAATTTTTTTGCCCTGGAATTGTCCTGATTTTAACTAAATTTGTTGGACTTGTTTTGTGGTAACAGGCAATGCCAGTTTAAACTTTATTTGTCTTGCTGTTTGTACTCCAGATGAAACCAAGCGCAAAATGTAAGAAGTTTGCCTTCTGGTTAGTTTTTTATTTCTGCCTCTAGAGTGATTTTTGTTGTAATTTTTAACTACGTTTATAAAATTATTCACTGCATGATAAGCCATTTTGATTTTGTTTGCAATTTATTGATTGAACAAAGCTTTATCTTTATAAGCAACAATTTTTACTTTTTTTCCTTATTAAACACCTGCCCGTGTGGCATTGTATTAATTAAATAAATGTTAATTAAAAACACACAAAACTTCCGTATAGAACAAACAAATCAAAATCATACTCAAACTTTAATCAACTGCCATTAAGAGTTCAAAACAAACTGAGAGAACTACGAAAAATTTGCATGTATATATACCGGATTTTAAAAACCTTCTAGAAAATTTAGTTTCAATTTTTCTAAAACACATAAAATTCTCATATTTTAATTTTATAAATAATTTCTGCATAAAATCTTCAATAATTTCATGGAACTATGAAAACTTTGCTGAGTGTACTTTCAAAATCTCAACAGTTTTTAAGCTCCTGGAACAAATAAGATCTTAATAGTTAGAACACATTAAAAGCAAAGTGTTTTAAAGTGTTTATAAATTGTTTTTTTATAGTCGTCAATACTGTATTGTTGTAAAAAAGAGCCCCTTTTTTTAATAAAAGAAGCACTCAAATTAAGTAAAAATAATAATGGCGTATATATATATATATCGGTATGTGCTTTATCTGAAAGTAGAAAAGTGAATGTTATCAATAGTTTACAATATTACTTATATTTACGCAAATTATTTCTAGTCTACACTTAGCCCTATAATGAAAAATGACTAAAATATGTAAGAAATTTGCTGAATGCAAAAAATTTAATACAAAATAGACTAACAACTCAAAAAGTTGATGTTCAACTCAAATTAATGAATTGGTTACTTCCAGTCGCTCTTCTGTCGACTAACCAAAAGTCAGAGTGTACACCCCTGACTATATATAAAATTTTATATGTAGCATTATTATAACTAATTTATATAAATAAGTAAATAAAATTACAAAAATATATTCTAAAAGCTTTTCTCAATTATTATTTGCTGCAAAATAATATTATCTGTTATTTAAAATGTTACCTGTTTTTTGTTATTCTCTTCAGCTTCAATTTTTTTCTGATTGTTACCATACCAATAACGATCAATATATGGCTGAATAAAATTGTGCCAAATCCAGAGAAACAGGGGCACAAGAATACATGATACTCAGACCATTTTTTTTGTATCAAAATACTTTACAATAATCTGTCTATTAAATAAATACATTTTTTTTAACAAATAGAAAAATAAAATTTTCTTTAAAGTTCTTTATTTACATTTTATTTTTGATAATACAAAAAGATTTTTATATTTATTTTAGGCTTAACAATTAAAACAATTAGTTATAAAACATGAAATATATATATATATATATATATATATATATATATATATATATATATATATATATATATATATATATATATATATTGTATATAAGTGAATAATTGCTGCTGTATACTATAAAGATAAGCAAAACTAGTAAGCAAATATATATATATATATATATATATATATATATATATATATATATATATATATATATATATATATATATATATATATATATATACAGCAGGGATGACTAACCCTCTGCCTGCAGGCATTTTTTGCCTTTTAAAACATTTTCATTTGCTCTTAGGAGATTTCCAGCAATTAGCTTTTTCTAACTGTCATATTTTTTCAAAATTATTTTAGTTATTCAACTTCCAAGTGAGTAAATCAAATTTATTTAATAATCAAAATTATTTTAATCTAAATTAATTTTTAATCAGTAGTACCAGACTCCTAATGAAGCAAAGTAAAAAAATACTTTTTAGTACAAAACAGAACTAACTGAAAAAAATAAGTGAAAAATATTCCTTGAAATTACAAAATATTTTTCTACTTAAAATGGCTAAAAGTGACAAAGGTTAAACTTTAAAAGAAAACATGAAAGTGAATTATCACAGCCTTGTTTCAGAAATAAATGGGAGCCTTGTTTCAGAGAAGAACAATTCTTGTCTATACAAACATCATCAAAGCCTTATTTATGCTATGTGTGTTTTAAGATAACTGCACAGTTAAAATAAATTTGCACAGACATTTTACTAAAATTCACAAAGCTCAACATAAAATATCCAGCTGGATATGAGCTCAGGAGAAGTTTTATTTCAAAACAGAAGAATCAAATCTCAAATCAACAAAAAATATTCATTAAGAAAAGTGATGAAATACACTATGAAATTCAAATTTCACTTATCCTTACAAAAAAAAAAAAAAAAGTAGCAAGGCCAAGGCCACATGTTACAAGATCAAGGCCAAGATTAAGAGTTTCAAGGCCAAGACCTACGCAAACATTTTCAAGACCAAACACCTCATTTTTTGCCTTACGTTAAGGCCAATTATTAACATAACTTTAAGTAGCAAGTGCTGTGACAATAAAACCACATTTTGAAAAATCGACCAAGGTTATGAGCAGAATTCAACAAAATCAATAAGAAAAAAGAAAAATTTTAAGGCCAAGGCCAAAACAATCAAGGCCAAGGCCAAAATTTTTTAAGGGCAACAGTTTCAAGGTCAAGGCCTGAATTTTAAGGTTAAGGGCTTGGCCTTGGTAAAGACTAAAAACACTGGAAGAAAGTAAAATCAAGTTGTTATCCCAAAACAGTGCTCTCAGAAGAAATGGCTGGTGATGTCTTTAAACATATCATAGTAGCCTCTTCAATATCAAGGCACTATTTTATTTGTATTAATAAAAGTTGTGATTCAACTGACTGTTCAACTATTTGTTTACATCAGTTGTGTAAATGAAAACTTTGATGTCATGCAAGTTCTCCTTGGTCTCTGACAGCTGCAAATTAAAACAACTGGACCAGATATTTTTAAAACATTGAAAAAAGTATAGAAAATTCAAAAAACAGCACACACATTCTGAATTGGACAGTATTTGCACTGATGGGGCACCAGCAACGGTTGGAAAGAATAATGGTTAAGTTTTTCTTCTTGAGAAATGTTTAAAGAGAAAACTTTTTAAATATCATTGTATCATCAGGAAGCACTCTGTTCTAATAACATGAAAATTTTCTAATAACATAGAAACATAGAAATAGCCTTGTTAAGGTGGTACACCACTAAATGTTCTAAAATGTTCTTAAAAAAAAAAAACTTATAAAAAAAAAAAAAAATTATATCAATAAAAATAACATTAGTTTGGAATGTTATTTTATACTTCATTTTATTTTGCCTCAATTACTTTGCCCTAAATTTATCAAAAATATAAATATATAACATGTTCTAGACATGTAAGGTAACATGTGAGGTAAGGTTGACATATGAATTTTAAGATTTTCAAAGTACATAAAAAATTTTATCAATTTTTTTTATATCAAGTAAAAAAAAAACTTTTTTAGACCTTAAAATTAAAAGAAAGATTGGAGCAGAACTTTATAATTTTGAAATGTCATTTCCTAGTATAATAAACATTTCCTGAAAATTTAAAGTGATTTGCACTTTTTGCTTCTCAAGATATCATGTTTACAATCAGACCATTTTCGCAAAATTTGAAAATGGAGAAAAACGCAAAAGAAGATCAAATATTCTTGCCATTCTTACATAAATTTTTTTAGTTAGTTAATTTATTAAGAAATTAAAAGATATGTTGGGAATAAGCTTTTTATATTATTAATCTACAATAAATTGCCTATCAAATGAGCGAATTATCAAAAACTCACTTTTTTTTTCAATTTTCAAAAGTATTTGGTGTTGTACCACCTTAATGATGCTATTGTATAATGCATTATTAAAATTTAAGCAAGAGCACTTCATAGACAAGAGTTTTGTTTGTTTTTTGAAAATGAAACTAATTGTTCAGTTTGTTGGTTATCAAAAGACAATATGTTTGTTGGGGCAATATGTTGTCTAGATTTCTTTTCCTAAAAGCTCAAGTCCTTCAGTTTTTGGAGAAAAAAAAGTTATCATCATCTTTGATTCTCGTTTTCATGACTTTGACACTGAAATAATTCTGTTCATCAACTCTTTTGTAATCACAGGAAATGACACAACTATTCTCCAAAAATTCCAATGGAAATCACTGATATTCAAAAACACTTGAGATTAAAGGCAAAGTTTAAAGAACTTTGTAAAAATCCTATGCCCCATGACCTTAGAGAATTCTGGAAATTCGTTCCTAAATCTAACTTTATAGAACTTAATGATATTGCACTTAAAATTGCCCGCAAACTTTGTTTAACTTATATTTGGAAAAAAAAATTTTTATCAATGAATTTTTTCAAGTATAGATCCACATTGACTAACAATCATCTGGAAAACTTGTTTCTGCTATCAACCATAAAAATGAACCCTGATATTAATAAACTCATCAATAATATTCAAGTTCAAAGACCTCTTTAAATACATTTACTAGTATCTGCAAAGTTCCCTATTTATTTTTAATTAAGTGTGTAAAATACAAAACATTTTTTTTTCCTTACAGAAAAAATTGCTGCTCCATAGCACGCCCTCATTTAATTTAACATCACTTCTTTGCGAAGGCAAAGGAGTGGCGCTATATGATAGTCAATGTATGTACTGAAAAAAATACAAACGAAAATAAACATTCCTAAGATGTGAATAGTGTTCTATCAGCTAAAACAAATATTTTTAAATTTAGATGAGCTTTTGAGGTTCCTCTTAGACACAAAAACTTTGATAGGTCCTAGTATTAGTGAAAATTCAGAGCTATGTTCAGAACTAACCAGGTACTTAAAAGATGCAACTAAATGTTAATTTTAAAAATATTATTGATCTTCATTTTAAGTAAAATTTGTATTTTACTTAAAATACTTTATTAGTATTATATATATAAGGGCTGTGGAGTAGGAGTCAGAGTTGCGACATATTTAGCGGAGTCGGAGTCGCTAAACAAAATCGCGACTCCGACGGCAATAGTAAAACTTCTTGGTATTGTACGTGCATGTACAAAACATTCAACTAACTTTATGTTCATACTAAACCTCAAAGAATGTTTCATAAATTTCTTTTGTACTTTGAAGTATAATAAAATTACTATTTATAAAATTACTAATTAAAATTAAAGAAAGTTATTTTTATCATAATTAGTTTATTGTGTTTAAATTAATTATCTATTGTTAGAAATCAGGCAAATTATAATTTGAAAAAAAGGTAATCTGTTCTCCATCCTCAGCCAACAGACTGTTTTTTTTGGGTTAAAATGTCTTTCCAGTTGTGTTGAACAGAGGTTCACTCTTAACGGAGGTGCGTACAATATTTTCATTGAGAACCTTGCCAAATCCCACTTATTAGTGTCTTTATAGGAGCTGGTGTAATTGTAAACACCCACCACTTATCTGTTATTCATCCGGACATTTATTTTTTGGTAATGTTGATAGACCTAAGTAGAAGTTGGCTTCCTCCATGTTGAATCAAAGCTATGAATCAATTTCAAATTTAAACTTATATTTTAAATTTTTAATCAAGTAAGGAAAAAAGAATACCCTTATTCAACTTATAAATATTAAAGAATAAACATTTATAATTGATAAATAATTATGTTGTGTATTGAAAATTAAAAATATTAAATGCAACCAGACCCGTAACTACAGGAAGACATGGCCTGTATGTAGCTTGTGTCTGCTTGCAGTTATCTTTCTATAATATAAATTATGAATTGCCTGTAGACAAAATTATGTTATAATTTTGTCTACAGGCAATTCTGATGTGCAAATAAACTTGTAAATAAATTTCTAGTAACAGGGTTGAATGCAATAAAATAATTAATTTGAAAGTTAGCATCAATTTTTAATTAAATTTGCAATAAATTTTAAAAATACCAATTTAATTTAGATATTTTATTTGTACCATTTTCTTTTTAAATATTTGACCATCATGATCAGAGTCTTTAACAAAATCAACTTCTTTTGCTTGTTGTAAATGATCATTTACAACAAGCAAGCAAATTTTATATTTTAAATTATACATATTATATATAGCCTTGTTTATTATATTATTATAAAATTATATATAGCCTTGATATAAAATTTCTTTAAGCATACTATGGTCTGTTTCTTTAAAAAATTTCATTTGAAACTATAAAAATTTATGGTCTGTTTCTTTAAAAAGAAACAGACCATAGTATGCTTGGGGTTTGAGCACCATTAATTTTTTCAGACAAACATCTTTGTATTAATGAAAATGACTTTTAAAATCTTTTAAGTTCATCAACAGTTTTTCAGTTGATTTGTCCTAAGCATAGTCAAGAAACGATATGATCTCTGATGTGTCTGCACTCTTACCTTTCGTCACGCTTTTAAAGTGTTTTAGTATGCATACAATTATTTCAGCATGCTGCCATTAATTTTCTGTAGGTTATCTGCTTCTTTAGTTATAAAACCAAGAATTAATCATGTTTTTGAGTGGTGATAAAAAATAAATTTTCTAGCGTACGTTTCAAGTGCAAAAAAACTAAATACAAATTATAGTGAAAATAGCTTTCAGTAAATACAACATAAAATTATACATAGAACTTAAATTAAATATAAAAACACCCATTAATTTTGATAAGCAGGCAAACAAAAAAAATTAACAATAAAGTTAGTTTGCAGCATGTCGCAATTTATACTATGTATACTGCGGTATACGTCAAGGAATCAAAGTAAAGGAGCAAATTACAAGTAATAGAATTGTAATGTAAAGTAATCATATTGTAAACAATAAAATTATTTTATGTTTAATATAACAGTAGCTTATTTCCTTTATTTACCTAAATAAAATTCGCCGAAGTCGATGCTTCGGCGAAAACTGACCCTGGATTCGGCTGAAGCCGAAACTTCAGTACATCCCTAATATATATATACATATATATATATATATATATATATATATATATATATATATATATATATATATATATATATATATATATATATATATATATATATATGTATATATATATATATATATATATATATATATATATATATATATATATATATATATATATATATATATATATGTATGTATGTATGTATGTATATATACAAACTCCTTTTTTCTACATAATTTGCAAAAAAGCAACAATTTTGGGCAACTTTAAAACTAGCATTTCATTTTGTGTTTCTTGAGTACCAAGTTGTCATAGTTTAAAAAATCTTATTAGGATTTCTCCAAAATTTTGATTTTTATAGGAACCTCAAAAACTCATTTAATAAAATAGATAAGGTTATTTTTTTCCTGGAAGACAATTAATTGCATCACAGGCAAACCTAGTTTCAAACATTTTTCAAATCTCTGCACTCTAATATGAATGTCCTCACATGTTCTACCTATTCTAATTGATGCAAGTACATTACACAAACAAAAAATTGTAATAAAACAAAAATAAAAAATAAAAACAGTATAAAACCTAAAATAAATAAGCAGCCACACAATTTACATTAAAAGAAAAAAGATTCAAGTCAATTAATCCAAGATTTAATGTCAGCCAATATTTTGTAGGAGTATGGATATTTGGTCAAAATAACTAGTTTTAGTGTAAATTATTTATTGATTAACATTTAAACTTTTATCATTGAGAATTATATGCCTCTATCACAATATATTGCAGCATAAAATAACTAAAGTTTCTTTGAAATTGAGCTTTCTATATTGAAAAATTTATTAGTTTTTTTTTAACCATAGTTTTAACTGTAATGAATAATATGATTACATTGCTTTATAAAATATACAGCAAAATAAGGTGTACATAGTCAACAGTTTTGATCAATTAAATTATTATAAAATTAGTAAATAAAACTTAAAAAAAACACTAATGCAAATGCTTATTATTTAAAATTAATCAACTTTTTTTTAATATTAAATAATTCATTAAAAAAAGTTTTCACAAGAATAATAAGGACTAGGTAATTCAGCCCTTATTTAATAAGAATTTAATAATTAACAGCCTTTATTAAGATATTATATTTAAATTTAATATAAAACAACATTCATTTTCACAAACAAACTCCCATCCTATACCAACATTCAACTTTGGTAAGACAGCATCCATTGTAACAATTAACTTAACGACAATTTAATTTACAAACAAGATAAATCAATTTTGACTATACTTTGTAAAATGCAGCAACTAATCTAACGATTATTATACTCTTTTTTTAATAATTTTGAATAAAAAACTTTGTTCCTAATAAATGATGAAAATGCTATTGCAGTAAGTTTGTTGCTGTTGAAATAGAAGTAAAAAAAACTTCCAACCGATTAAAACAACCCAGCTTTTTTTTTTTCACGGCACTAATTAATATTAATTTTTAAAAACATATATATCGCCTTGCCTCAAAGCCGACTTCAGCTCAACAAGTCAAGATTTAAGATTCAAAGATCAGAGTTCAACATGATTTTAACATCAGATTAGTGTTATGAACTTGAAGGATAAATGACAATAATTAACTTTTTACTTTTTAAAGTTTCATTCTTTTTTTTTAACTAAAACAACGCAAAAGGTAATTTCCGGCAGTGCCGGCAAATAATTCTGAAATTAATTGCCGGTGACGCGAAATAAAATAACTCCCTGAAAAGTTAACTTCTGGTAACTCCCCGGTTAATTTATTTTGAAATAAATTATTTTATAAATTATAAATAATTTATTTTGAAATAAATTATTTATAACTTATATTACCCCGGGAGTTAAATTATTTTTAAATATAGCGAAATGGATTAACCGGGGGCCTAAATATTTTTAACCCCCATCGTATTAAATTAACCCCTTTTAATTCGCGTTTTAAATATTTTTGCTTATAATAAGTTCTACAAAATTGCGTTAGTAGTTTATTTTGATATATTTTTTAAATCATAGTCATTAGAATAATATATATTTCTTATGACTATGTTTTAAGTTAGCGTTAATGTTTTGACTATAGACCCCTTTTCGTTGTTTTGATTTTTCGAAACAAATGCGCATGCGCGCGTCTTTGGCAGTCAAAACAAATCGATTTTAAAGCTAAACAGTAAATATTAATTAGCGTCTTTTAGTTAGGAGTTAAAGGTTTAATTTATACAAAGTTTTTTTAATAATCATTTATATTTATAAAATAATATGCCTGACGTGTGTTGTGCCTATGGATGTACAAATAGAAGAACATTAGCTAATGCTCATTTGAGCCTTTATCGAATACCAACTAATAAATCTGAATCTGGTGCTAACAGAAGAGACAAATGGGTTGCAGCAATTAAAAGAGAAAAATGGAACGTAAAACAAATAAATAATGCTCGTTTGTGTAGTGCTCATTTTACTACAGGTAAGATTTTTAGTTTTCCATTCAGTTTTTTTGCGTTCTAATAGTTTTCATGTATTTGTTATACTTAAATTAAAATAATAAAAAATAAACTCTTAATACTTTAAGTATTCTTACTTATGTATTAACTGATAATCATCTTTTTTTAGGGAAAAAATCTGATGATCCCTGTCATATTGATTATGTTCCAACTGTATTTTCTTTTAAAAAGACACATGGAAAACAAATTAAAGCTTCTTTAGAACGATATGAGCGATCAAAAAAAAGGCAGCGAACTCTTTCTAGTAATGAGTCTATATTATTACCGATTCACGAGGTTGGATCATTTAACGAGACAAAAATTAATGAGTTGGTTGAAGGGGACTGTTTAAATTGTCCTTCAGAAAACGAGATAACCCAAAGAGCTGTTGAAATAGGTAAAAAAAGAACAAAAAATTTGTAAATTAAATTTATCTTAATTGGTGTCACTGATATATAACTTATGTGTTGATAAACTTTTAAACTAATTGTTTAAAAAAAAAAATTTTTTTTGAAGAATTTATTAGTAGTATTATTTGCATATTAGTATAAAATATTATTAGTATTGTAAAATATAAGCATAAAGTATTATTTGCATATTTTTAATTTTAGGCACACAAACTGAAGTATTTGTAACAAAAGAAAAACAACTAAAACGAACTTTGAGAAAAAAAAAATTTGAAATACAAAAATTGAAGCAAAAGTTACAAATATGTCAAAGACAATTAAAGTTTACAAAGGAGAAGATAATTGATTATATTAATATTAAAGAAAAAGCATTAAACTTTTTAACTGGAATTACCAAACCAGCTTTGTTTGAATGGATTTTGCAAGAAGTTAAATCTTGTGTCAAACCTATTGTTAAAACAATATCCTTAGAAAACCATTTATCAATTGTATTAATGAAGTTAAGACTTGGACATAAAAATAAAGATTTAGCTTTGAGATTTAACATTAGTGAAGGAGTCATATCAAAAATATTTCGCTTATGGATAAAATAATTAGCCAATGTATTGTGCAATTTAATTGTGTGGCCTGAACGAGCTGCTATAAGAGCAAACTTGCCATGTTGTTTTACAAACTTTAAAAATTGTGTATGTATAATAGACTGCACTGAAATATTTATAGAAAGGCCACATAACTTAACAGCTAGGGCTCAAACCTACTCTACCTATAAATCACGTAATACCATTAAATACTTAATTGGAATAACACCAGCTGGTGCTGTAAGTTTTTTATCATCTGGATGGGGTGGTCGAGCATCAGACAAACTGATCACAATTGAGTCAGGTTTTTTAGATAAAGTTTGTTACGGAGATTGTATTTTAGCTGATAGAGGATTTTTAGTGGAAGAAGAATTAGCAACAAGAGGAGCTGTTTTAATAATACCAGCATTTACAAAAAGTAAAAGTCAAACGGCTGTAAAAGACATTGATTTATCACGTCAAATTGCTCGTGTGAGAATCCATATAGAAAGAGTTATTGGGCGTTTAAAAAAATACCAACTATTAACATCAACTATACCTGTAAGCCAGGTTGATTTACTTGATAGTATAATGATTTCAGTAGCTGGACTTATAAATTTAAATAAAAGTGTAGTACAGAAATAAAAAATGTCTAATAATAAATTTTTATTTTCAAACTAAATAGTACAAAATATTATTTTAAACAATTTGGACAAATCCAAATTCCTTTAGGAGCACGAGTTACATTAACACATGAGTAGTGAAACCATTCAATTTCACAACTAGGTTTATTACATGCAATCATTGGTTTAAAGCATGGGCGTTTACAAATGCAATAGTTTTTCTGCTTGTTGCTATAATAAATATCATTTTCTCTTGTTACAGTTTCTGGTAAAATGTATGTAAAATAATATTTGTGTAATGCCTGCTTTATCTCATTAATAAATTTTTCATCTCGATAAACTCTAACTAGTAGGTAATTTCCTTCACTTTCTAAGGGTGTCCAAATAAAAAAGTCACAAACTTCTACATCTAAAATCATCATTTGTCCTTGTATTTGGGTATAATACTTATGGCTTGTTTTTAAATCGCCATTTTCACATACAGGAAAATCTTTATCCTCTTTCCAACCATTTAAACCTTCACGATATTTGTAGGGACACTTGATTTCGACTAAACCTTTATTGTGGCATGTACATTGAATAATTCCATCTGGCGATGCTCCTAAATATGGATAACTAGCTTGGATATGAATACCAGTTGTTTCTAATTTGAAATTGTTGTGATTTTTTTTTAATAATTTAATATAAAAACAACGTGCTTTGTCCTCCATTTCTCTTCCATAAATAACACTTGCTACATTTGGTGAAATTACATAGTTCATTATTTTGAATAACAAAGGTTTTGAATTTTGTAATTTTTTATTTATAACTTCATGGAAATTGGATGCTGTAATTCTACCAGCTCGATGTAATTTCCATGTATTCGACAGGTTTTGAGTTTTACTCACTTCTGCCAATAAGTTAAAGTTGCATTGAGAATAACTGTTTTTGTATTCATTAAATTTGGATAAGCAAAATTCTTCAAGCAAAGATTTGTCAAGATTGTTTGCATCATTGTCAAACAAAGAAGTAATTGGCTCTGGTAAAAAATTTGTATCGTTTTCATCAGCAGTTGCAGTATTGTCACTAAAACTATGATCAAATATTGTAGTTGGTGCTAGACCAACTACACTTGTAAAAAAAGCTGCTTCTGGGGCAATAGCCCTGAGTTTATGTAAACTATTATTGCTAAACTTAACAACATTTTCAGAAAATGAGTAATTTCTTTTAGGATTTTTGATATTTTGTGTTGAAAAAGGTAGTTGATTTTTCATTGGTCGCTTAAAATTAATGTTTTGTAGCATTGATGGTTCTGCTTTTTTTCTAGATCTGTTCCACACACAAAGTTTGCTAGTAACTGCAACTTTATTTGCCTGAATTCTAACACATGCTTCTAGTTTAAATAGAAGAGCTGCTACATGGCTGCATACAGATCCAAGACTAAAAAATTAATATAGGTTATTTAGCATATGTTAAAAATGAAAAGTTATGTTATAAATAGTTTTTTAAAAATAATTTATTACCCTGCCATGCATGTGCAATTTCCAGTAAGTATCCATCCGTCAACTTTGTTAAGGGCAACCCATACATCATAAAGTTTAGTTTTTTGGCCCTGCCTTTGACTCGGAAGTACCTGTTTAAAAGAGACATTATTTTATTGCTAGCAAATAAAAAATAACTTTTAAAATTAAAAAGTACATAAAATATATATACTTTCATTGTATGTATATATGTATGTATTTATGTATGAATCTCCCACTCTCTCTACATATATATATATATATATATATATATATATATATATATATATATATATATATATATATATATATATATATATATATATAATGTATACATATATATATATATATATAAATTATATATATATACATATATATATATATATTGTATATTATATATTATATATTATATATATATATATATAATATACATATATATATTATATATATATATAATATATAATGTATATATATATATATATATATATATATATATATATATAATATATACATATATATAATATATATATATATATATATATATATATATATATATATATATTTATATATTATATATATATGCATATATATATATATATATATATATATATATATATATATATATATATATATATATATATATATATATATATATATATATATATATATATATATATATATATATATATATATATATGTAGAGATAGATAGAAAGAGAGAGAGGGAGATACATAAATAACATTCTTACACAAACACATACATATATACATCCAATGAAAGTATATATATATATATATATATATATATATATATATATATATATATATATATATATATATATATATATATATATATATATATAATATATATACAATAAAAATAGAATAATTAAATATATTGTTTTCATTGAAACATTTATTTTCCCTACCTTCGATTTTACAAAACAAAACTGAACATCTTCTTTAACAATATTACAATAAACATCTTGAACATGCCCACAAACAAAAAAATTATATGCTTCAAGAGACTTATAGGCCTTCATATTCTCATTTGTGTATTGGCTCGGAGTATTTATGAGATATATGTGTATATATCTCCCCACTGAATATCTGGCAAAAGTGATACATCATCTTTCCAAGAGGCTTCCACCAATGTGTATGGATCTGGTAGCGTGCTTCTGTCACTTAAAGTAAGCTTTTTTTTATACTTAAACTTTTCGGTTTCATCTAATGTTTCAAAATAACTTGATTCTTTCCAACTTTCCATATTTTAGATGTATAGAAGATAAAAAAATACCAAATGTTTACAATTTCTTAATTCAATTAAAACGCTAAAATTGTTTGTTTTGACTGCCAAAGACTTGCGCATGCGCACGTGTTTCGCAAAATCAAAACAACGAATAGGGGTCTATACCTTTAGTTAGCGTTAAATAAAATTATTTTGTAACTGTTTATTTTTGCTAAGTATTATATTATTGTGAAAATAAAAAGGAGATCAAAATAATATTGCAATATATATATATATATATATATATATATATATATATATATATATATATATATATATATATATATATATATATATATATATATATATGTACATATAATGTAGTATAAACACCTATCTAATTTACCTTGACAGTCAAAATTAAATAAGCGTTTATACTAATTTACTACTGCTCTGTTTTTTAAGAACATTGAACACTCTATTTGTACAATACACTAGATCAATTCCATGCTTAAATGAGTTATTTTGATAAAATAATTAAATAAATTTAAACAAAAGCAAAGTAATCATTGGGTTGCCATATGTTTAAAAATTTTAAATTTTGATTAATAATGTTATTTGTGTGTTTGTTTTTATTTTAAATTTCAAATTAAAGTCACGCCTCATTTTTTCTATATAAATGGTAGCTAATCTACATTTTGATGAAAGGGTAGAATTGTCTCTGTAAGTAACAATAACTAAGTTGATTTAACATACACAAATAAGTATTTATGTGATGAAATTTAACATTAATAATATTGTTGTTATATTAATATTTCTTCTTTTGTTTTAGTTAATAAAAAGTTAAAAAGTAATAGTTCAGTTACTTTCATTTATCCTTCGAGTCCACAACAATTTTATCAACTTGTAGTTCATTATGTTACAAAGAACAAAAGGATAAAGCTTTGAATCATTTTGAATCACTTCCAAATACACAATCAAGTAACCAAAAATTTAAACATTGGTTTAAAACTTTTGAATACTTTTTAGATGTGTTACCTCAAGAAAACATTGACATGTCCTTTATCAGTGCTATAACTTATAATGAAATCTAACAATGACTTCTAAAAAATAACATTAGAAGCATAACATTAGAGGTTATGTCTCTCTCAAAGTATTATCAACTCACAGCTTAGTTCAAATGGCATCAACTTTGTTAACCCCTATTGTTGGAATATTTTTATTTGATATAAAAATTTATTACTTGAACTATCACAATGTAAGACTACAAATTATGGACAATTTGTGTGCTGATGTTATTCTTAGTATTGATTTCCCGTCCCAGCACAAAAATGTAATGCCTAATTTTGGTGGAGTGAGCGTACCTCTTGTATTTGGACTTTGAACACATTAGATAAACACATTAAACTACATTAAATGTAAAGCTTCTGAATCTGTTTGAAAACCTGACATCTGACTGTAAACTAGTAGCTTCAAAATTTTGCCTTTACAGTGCTGAAGACAGAAAATTTTTTAGCTCTGAAATACAATACCTTTACATAGAAGGAATTATCAAACCTTCAACATCACCATGGAGATCACAAGTCATTGTAACAAACAAGAGATTAAAAAAGTGCCTAGTCATAAACTATAGTCAAATTATTTATTGTTTTATATGTCTTGATGCCTCAAATACTTGAACTTGTAAACAAAATTTTGCAATATCGATACTTGAGCACCAAAATCAGCCTATCACCAGATCCTAATTAAACAAGAATATCATTTGTATGCTGCATTTAAAGCTGACAGAGATTTACATCAGTTTATGTGTATGCCTTTTAGTGTGACAAACTGAGTAACTCAATTTAAAAAAACAGTGGACAATTTTATTGCTGATGAGATATTGAAAGACTTTTGCTTATCTTGATAATTTGACAATCTGTGGAAAGATGCAAAAGGATCACGACTATACCCTTAAAATGTTTCCTTTTAGCTAAAGCAAAGAATTTAACTCACAAAAAAAAAATCAAAACCACTACTAATGAAACTCCTCATGTAGGACTCTTTATGTATCAAAGATGTTCTGCTAATGAAGATTCAATCCAATTATAGCTTACACAACCTGGCAAGGTGTTATTAAAGAAACATGTTAAAAATTCTAAGTATAAATTTGACGTAGATGAGGTATTCCTAATGGAAGCAAACCCACAGTATGTGCTTATTAAGCATGCCAACGATTGTGAATCTATGGTTTCTATTCGTGACCTTGTACCACTAACTTGAGACTCACATACAGTTAACTTACAGTCAAATACGGTATCTAAACTCATCGAAACAATCTACTGCACACCTGTTACAAGAACCATATAAGACTGCACACTAGTTAAAAAAACCAGATGAGACTGTGTCATTGTATCTTTCTGCATATCCAGTGAGTCTTGCCCTGCCATGTTCAATAAGGTTGAAAATAATATTTACCAAGACGATCAACTTGAAAGCGCACGACTCCAAATCGGTTGGATCTTTGAACAATAGACTACTTAAAACTTAAAAATGTCGGGGAGAATGTGATGAAAATTTATCATTATTATTATTGTTTTATAATATTTCTTATTATTTTAGGCAATAAAAAGTTAAAAAAAAATTGTTCAGTTATTGTCATTTATCCATCGAGTCCGCAACAAGCTAAAACAATCTTTTAAATAATTTTACGCAGAATAATAACTACTTCATTTAATTTAAGTAGCCAGTTTATGTAGGTTAAATATTTGGCTGAAAATATTTAACTGAAAACAACAGGTTTAATGCAATGATTTTTTAGTAACAGCATATAATCAACTATAATTCCTATAGCTATAATAATTGAAAGAAATTTCAATATTCAGGAAAACAAATAAATGATTTTGGAATGATTCATATATAAACATATAACTTGTTAAAATAAAAAATATATATAATATAAATCATAAAATGTGACATTACAAAAATTAAAATGTCCCGTAAGTAACAGTGGCATTGCCCACCAACATAATTTATACACCTTTAAACCAACTTAATCTTCAATGATACACCCTATCAGATACACTCGCTATTCCTAATCTCTATATAAGATCACCCATTATTTTCTTGTTTTTAGAGTTGCACCGCACATCTATCTGATTGTTGCCTTTTCAATTCTTTCTAAATAGTGGACATCATCTTTATTGCATATGTTTCACTGCTATGCATCATAATCTAGAGTCACATAGCGTATATCTTTTCTTTATTCTTATGTATATATATATATATATATATATATATATATATATATATATATATATATATATATATATATATATATATATATATATAATTTTAAATGTATTCTATAAAATAGAGTGCTGAATGTTCTTAAAAGAACAGACCAATAAATTAGTAGAAATTATAGATCATAGTATTCGATAGATAGTAGTATTCGATATACATGTCGAATAGTAATATATCGGTAGAAATATTCAATATAGATATTTATCAAATGTATAAATATTTAAGAATGCTTAAAATATATTAATTAACATATTCAAAAACAAACACATTTGGAAAACATCAAGTTAAAATACTTATTCCGTAATTCGTATAAATTGTTCGTATTCGTATAAAAGGGAGTTAAAATATTATAGGGAGTTAATTTGTTTCGCCGACAGGGGTTAATTTATTTCAAGGGGAGTTAATCTATTTCGAAATAGATTAACTCCCGAGATAACTTTTTATGCGACGGGAGTTAATTTATTATGGGGTTTAATTTATTTCATGACACCGGCAGAATAATTAAAAATATTAAGTTAAAAACTTCGACCCATAAATGCGTGCCAAGGACAATGATAGTTGATAATGAGTACGGTCTAGAGTTCGATTCTGCCTAATATATATATATATATATATATATATATATATATATATATATATATATATATATATATATATATATATATATATATATATATATATATATATATATATATATATATTTTTTTTTTTTTTTTTGTGTAAAATTATGTTTTATTTCAAAAAGTACTAATTTTTATTAGTATTACTCATTAATAGTGTTTATTAATTTTTGTTTATTATAAATTACCATTTATTAAATTTTTTTTTTTTTTTCAAGAATAATATGTACAAGGTAAATTTACATTGAATATATTACTGGCAGGACTTCCAGAAGATCACACGATCTATCATGAAGCCCTTTACAATCCATAGAGTTAAAATACTTAAATAAATTTACAAATATTTAAAACAATTTTTAAATGCATTTATATATTATAATACTCTTTAGATGTTAAGCAAGTTTTAACAATATTTTATAATATATGTGAATATATATATATATATATATATATATATATATATATATATATATATATATATATATATATATATATATATATATATATATATATATATATATATATATATATATATATATATATATATATATATATATATTATATTAAAATAATAATAAAATACAATTAAATTTGTAACATAACTCATTTTTTTCACGCTATATGCGATCATCAGACGTTATATAGCGTGAAACTCTGAGTCATGTTACAAATTTAATTGTATTTTATTATTATTTTAATATAATATATATTTGCTCTACTTTTGTATTGAGCACTGTCTACCGAAAAATTACTCTTATTACTGGTATATATATATATATATATATATATATATATATATATATATATATATATATATATATATATATATATATATATATATATATATATATATATAATATATAATAAATAATTTAAATGAAAAAAATATAACTTTATTAATGGAAATAAAAGTTTCATGCCATTCGGCAATCATCAGCTATATTATTCAAGTAAAAAATAAAAACCGTTATAAAAAATACAAATTTAGCGTTGCAACAGCATCTGACGTCAATTGTATGTGATCCGATATTTGCTAATCGCTAGAATCAAAGTTAGATAGTAAAAATTTTTTCCTATGCCTACAAGCAGAAACCAATTCACTCTTTTTGTTATGTAGTAGTCGGCTATAAAAAGTCATAATAAAATACGTTTCATTGATGCAAAGGTTACACTTTTTTGTAGATGGGT